GGCATACTGCGTAGCCACACGGGCCCTGCAGGGCCTGTCCCGGACATTCAGCCTAAAAGCCTAAAACTTAGGGCTTACAGGCCCCATTCATTTCAGCCTGGATGCTGAAAAACGAGGGCCTGCAGGCCCTACCTCGTTTCAGCCTAATTCTGGGTCTTTTCAGACTCAGAGTTTTCAACGGAGGGCCATTTTCAGGCCCTCATTGTTTCGACCCGCCCTAAGACTCAAGCCCAAAATAGCCTGTTCCTCACGTGCTCGAGCAGGAGCTGCAGCTCCCTTCGGCAGGCTCAAGAGGCACACCCGTAGTACATAGGAGGGTCCCATGCACTTCACGGGTAGGGAGTGTTCAGTAGGCATGAGTAGTCTTCAGGATTTCGGCCGCAGCACTCAGGAGGAGGCTGCAGTAGTCTTCAGCGCTAGGCAGTAGTGGTAGYGCTAGCTGTAGTCTTCGGCGCTGGGCGCCATAGCCGTAGTTATAGTCTTCAACGCTGGGCGCTGGTAGGCAGTAGATAGTAGAGTGGGAGAGAGACTGGCAGAGGCCAGTATTACTTACCTGTGGCGCCATCGCTCCAGCTCCATCTTCGTGGTACCTGCATCAAGGCGCCAACTTCACAGGTTAGTACTGGACACAGAGAGAGAGAGAGTTGTTTTTCTTCCTCTTCTAAGTCCACCTTCTCTTCTCACCCTCTCCCCACCTGACTTCTCAGACTACGACAGAGAGAGACAGAGTTGTGACTCGAGACTTGACGACATTGGATCCAGACTTGACATTTGGGATTCAGACATTCCGACGAGGGACTATTTGGGCGTGTGCTGAAGACTTGGTGTTGACGACATTCCCATCTTCCCCCTCCTCTTCGTCTATCCCCTTCCTCCTCGTCTGTGCATGTTCTGGGCTGGCGCTGTCTTCCTGTGTGAAGCGCCAAACCCATTCACACTATGAAACAATGATGATGATGTATGTTCAGGGCTGCATTACAACATTGATTGTTCGGATCACTGGTAAGTCTTCCGCTGTGTTATCTTGTACTTTGTATTGAAAGGTCGGTTCTTGTTCTGGTCTGCACGTTACAGTATGCAACAACAGATGATGGGAGCCCAAATGGCACAGAAAGCGAGCACAGATCATGGCACAATCAGACACAGTGGGCCAGTCCTCTTTTTCCTCGCTTATTTATTTATTTATTATATTTTTATTACTTCCTTTTATATTGGCAACGATAACACGAAGAACACGATGGCAGCCAGGTACCAATCAGATACAGTGGGGCAGTCTCCAGGAGCTTGGTCTTGGAAGACGAGTGTAGGTAAGAAAGGAATAAGCAAAAAAGCTCCCTGGAGTGAGGACAAGCATCTCAAACACAGTGCGGCTTCCCTGGTGCTGCAAGTCAAGACATTATTTCCACCACAGTCCCACACACCTGGACAGGGCAACTGATCCCAAATATTTTGCTTAGTTTCCCACACACTGATCTTAACAAAATTTGTGCCAGGGACCTGCGTAGCATCGTGTTCACATGCAGCGACTGAACCTGAATGCTTGTGACCGAATGAACGCCAAAACTCTCCGAATGTGAACGTAAAAATATTGGACAAGAAAAAAAAAAATCAGAAAAACATGAGAAAATGTATGTTATGTAAAATAATAATACAAGCAACCTTTGCCTGGGAGGCATGTTCAAATTCTTAGCCAAAGACGAGTTAAAAAACAAAATCCGGAAAAAAATAAAAATAAATTCTAGGCTACCAAAGTGGCCCGGGTCCACTTGCCCGGCCAGGCCAAGAAGAAAACATATATATATATATATATATCGTCACAAATAGAACTGGCCGGTAAACCGTAGGCAGAGAGGGAGAAGAGGACAACAAACGAGGGGCTGTGACAAACTGTTTCGTCGGAGTTTCATCGACTCATCATATATAGATTATATATATATACAGGGTTGCCGGCGTTCGGGACGGGCCGAATGCCCGAACCTGAACGCCCGAACGTTTGGGACCCCCCCTCGACGCATTCGGACGTTTGGCCGACGGAAAAAAAAAAAGTCATGCAGAAGAATAAACTAAACAACATTTGCCTCAACAGTACATCCAATTTTTTTACCAGATTTGAAATAAAAATCAAATACGAAAAATAAATAATATTAATGAAAATAAGAAAAAATAAAACGATAATGAAATGATTGCGTCGGCGAGCAAGTATTTGACACCGCCATCTTTGGCGATTTTTCATTTTTTTTTGGCTTTGTCAAATGCCATGAAATTTTATACATATGTATCTTACATAATAGAGAACCTACAAATAAAGTTTGAAAAAATAATAATTTTTTTCAGGCCCCGAAATAAAGGGAAAACAAAAAGTGAAAAGAGAAAAAAAACAAATTAGTAATTGGGTAAGCAAGTTTTGACACCACCATCTTTGCTGATTTTTCATTATTGTTTGGATCCACAGAATGACTTCAAAATTGAGAGACAGGTAGCTTACATAACAGAGGACTCACAAACAAAAAATCAGAAAAAAATAATAAGTTTTAGGTACCAAAATATTTTTTTTGCGGGGTCCAAACCCCTTCGAGTTCGAGCCCCGTACGGGAACCCGAACGCCCGAACGTTCAGGGGTCAACTTAGGGGCCTCCGTACGTTCGGCCTGGCAACTCTGTATAGATATATATTTTAATTTAAAATTTGATTTTAAATTTGGTCAAGAATTTCGATGTGACCCTGAGGCAAAAGTCGTTCAGTTTATATTTCTGCATAACATAGTTTTTTTTGCGGATTTTTCTGTTTTTTTTTTTTTTTTTGGCTGGGATCTTCCCTAGTCCTTGCACACCCGGGCCGCCCGGAGAAATAGGGTGACCCGGGCGGCCCGGCTGGTAACGTAGAAAAAAAAAAAAAAAAAAGGGTTTGGTTGAACATGTTCGGGATGCGTTCGGCTGAACACCCGAACGTGTTCGGTCGTTCGTGAAAGCTCCGAACACGTTCAGTGTGCTACACAGCCAGGGACAAGGAAAAAAGGACAACACCATCCCAAATTGAATTGGATGGGCATAAAAAAATTAGACTTATTAAGTTATTATTGTTTCTTTTTCTTTTGAAAACTGTGTTTTTGGCTCCTGTCATGGCCTCCAGAACATACCGATGTTAATGAAATCCGTGCGCACGTCTGTAGCCAGAAAATCAAGTGATGACTGTGATACACTCGATTGACAATTTTAGACACTTGCAAGCACTTAGAGACATTTTTAGACACTTAAAGCATGCCCGCACTAGGACTTTTTCCAGTTCTTTGTAGACATAATTGCGGCCAGGTACATCCACACCGGGTTGGAAAAGCGGTCATATAGATGCAGAAAAGTCCTAGTGTGAGCATGGTGTTAAAGACCCTTGGTGAAACACTTAGACACACTTATAGACACTTGCAGACACTTACACACACACTTAGAGATATGTAGAGACACTCCGAGAAACTTAGGGAAATCAAGAGACACTTAAACCCCTAACACAAAGCCCCAGCCCTGCAGAAAAATGTTCGTCGCCCACTCCGAAAATTTTGCGGGTAGGGCCTACCAGACCACAATGGCTGGCGGTGCCAGCCAAAAAAAGAAACAATGCAACCCTGGCGGGTCGGAAAAGGGCCTACCAGGCCCCTATGGCTTGCCGTGCCAGGCAAAAAAGAAACAACGCACCCCTTTCAGTTCGGAAAGGGGCCTACCAGACCACAATGGCTGGTGGTGCGAGCCAAAAAAGAAACAATGCACCCCTGGCAATTCGGAAAAGGGCCTACCAAACCACAATGGCTGGCGGTGCGAGCCAAAACAGAAACAATGCACCCCCGGCGGTTCGGAAAAGGGCCTCCCTGTCACCCAAAGAAAAAACAATACACCCCTTGCAGTTCGGAAAGGGGCCTGCCAGACCACAATGGCTGCGGGTGCCAGCCAAAAATGAAACAATACACCCCTGGCGGTTCTGAAAAGGTTGGCGCATGGTGAACGGCCTCCAGGCCCGGGTGTGCTGGTGGTTTAAGACGCACTCGGAGACACTTGCAGACACACCTGGAGACACTTAGAGATACTCAGAGACACGTAGGGACATCAAGCGACGCTTAGAGACGCTTAGAGACAATCTCACTTTGCATACATTCGCAGGAACCTGGCTGTTTGCTCATCGTCCTTGAAAGCAGCACAAGAAAGTCGAAGATCGGGGCTTTTTGATGAAGCACAAAGGTAGCATCCGGATGATAGACTCAATATTATGTGAAGTCGGCTCGATTCCAGGACCACGCCATACGCTACATCTCAAGCAGGCATAAATACAATCTAGTGTGTGTTTTATGAGTTGCAGGGTTACTCAGTCCAACTCACTAACCGGTCATCTTTACAATCTAGAGTCTGGAGACTCTGGACAGGTAAAACCAATTTTTGAAATAGTGGTTTCATTTTGTGCATCGACAATTGACATTTCTACCATGCATGTGTTCATAATACTTCATATAGTTGGGAGGAATAGATGGACCCATGCATGTGTTCATATATACTTCATATAGTTTTGAAAGTTGTAATGAGAGAGGCCTGGAGAGTCAAAATATTAAAATAATAATAATAATTAAAATAATAATAATAATCACAATCATAATAATTAGTAATAATAATAAACGCAGATGACTGACATGGAAATTTACACCAAAAAAAAAACCTAAAAAAAGAAGTCAGTCTGAAAAATCCCCCAGTCCTCCATCTTGCTCTGTCAATCTAGAAACCAACGAAAGGCAAAATGAGAAAATGAGTAGCACAAAAAGACACAAAAAGAATGGTGAAAGCGAGAAGTGAAACGTAGCAGCAACCAACCATCATAACGTAAAGACACTTAGGGACACACGCACGGTCATGCTTTTTTCTTTTTTTTTGTGGAGTTGTATATAGCAAACACAACAACACTTTGGGAAAGAAGAGACTTTCAAAACGTGCGGAAAAAAAAAAAGAACGAACATTTACTAAATCAGGTCCCCACTAGAATCCCTTTGCCTCCTTCGCATTACATGCGACCCTCAAAGTCTAACACATGTCACGGGGCGCCCCTCGACATGGGCGGGAAGGGAAAAAAAGCCAAGCAACTACTCTCTCTCTCTCTCTCTCTCTCTCTCTCTCTCTCTCTCTCTCTCTCTCTCTCTCTCTCCATGTGTAGGTTCCGGCACCATCATCCATGACCTTAGTGCTCACTTCCCCCCTCCCAACACCTGTGCGAAAAAGCGCATTTCCAACAACTCCTCTCATCAGAAGCCCTGCATTAGAAATAGAGACTGATATAGACCAATAGAACTGGATTTGCAGAAAGGCATCCATCGCTTTCTCTTGGTCCCCGAGCGATTAAAATGACAATTTGACAAAGGCCCCGTAATCCTGGATTTCTCCCGGACCAAACACACATCGCAACGCTTCACAGACTCCACAGGGGGTTTCTCCAGAACCCCCCCCCCCCCCCCCGCGGCTTTCTCTTGGTCCGCTAGTGACTAATGACAATTTGCCAAAGGAACGGGACTTCTCCCCGACCAAACACATCGCAACACACTCTGCAGACCCCCCACGGGGGTTTTCTCCGGAACCCCCGTGCACCCTCTCCGCCTCTTCCTCCCCCCACCCTTCCCAAAACAAGTCCCACTCTTTGCTAAGGCATACCTACTCCCCTGGCTTTCTCTCAGTCTCCTCGGGAACTATCGACAATTTGCCGAACGCCCCTGGACCCATACACTCTGCAGACCCATTTTGTATGGTTCTCCCTGACCAGACTCAGGGCAACACTCTGCAGACTCAGCAGGGATCCTATACAGAACCCCCCTGCTCCCTCTCCGCCTCTCCTCCCCCCTGCCCTTCCCAAAAGGAGTCCCGTTCGGTGCTGCGGCATATCACCCCTGGACCCATACAAAATGGCGGCAACCCTCCGGAAAGGGGTTTAAACTTTAAATTGACCACCATGTCATCAACCCGCGTTACTCGTCAATCCCACTGGCCCACTGGGTCTATTACAACGAGCACCTAAGGTCTCTTCAAAGGGTCCAGAAACTTCATCAAAACCTCACTGATTCCCTACCTACACATGAAACATGAAATTGAGACGGAGAGATGGAACCGGGATCAGCCGGGACTTGGTGGTGCATACCTTTTCCAAACAGCTGGGACCTTGGCGCATTGGTGTATACCTTTTCCAAACAGCTGAGACCTTTGTGCATAAACTTTTTACTAAGATAGATGTACCTGCTCCTCGCATTGACCGCTGCTGTTGGCACGAGCGAACCCAGAATACAGTGCGACCAAGTCGCTTGCGAAAACGAGCCTGGACCCCGGAGAACAACTGCTCGCCGAGCTGATCGCACCAGCCATGCAGATTAGTGATCCTCATCAGCAATGTGACCGACTTCATTCTCAAGCACAAGTCAAAACGTGGAGGAATACACACTCGTACTTCTTGACTGAATCTCGCCGCCATAGTGCCAAGATGCGTCTACAAAAGTCAGTGTGTGAGTATGCCTTAAGTCCCCCAAGCAAATAGAGAAAGAACCTTGGAGGATTGTTATTTGCCACCCTCTAATTTCACGGTTAATACCTACAGTCCACCCCTTCCCCCCCCCCC